ATTTTTAATTGGGGTTTTTTTCAATGTATTGAAGCATTTTGTTTGCTTGTGTTTCTTATAGCAATTTGTTTTGATTGCTTGTAATTTGGTTAGCAATTTTTAAATTGCATGTAAGTTTGGAGCTTGGTTTGTTTTAACCTAGTTCATTCCCTGAAAATATAATTCTTAAAATTATTTACCATGGATTAAGAGTCAACATGCTCTTGAAAGTTTTGTCTAAGATTAACAATGTTTTAAGTGGGACCGATGTGACCTCTCCAGTCTTCTTGAAAACTTTCCTGACCATGCTCGATTTTAGGTTAAGTGGTGAGACTAATTTTGAATTAAATTTTCAACTTTGAGATTGTCTAGTTTTAAGTTTAATTTCTGGAAACACAGAATAGTGAAATTCTGTTGTATTTTTCAAAAATGGCTACTGTTAGTGATGTTGATGTTGCTGTTAATGTTGGTGGGGATCAGAATCCCAGGACTACTGGCTTGCCAACCACTGCTATGACCTCTGTAGTCAATCCAGTTGTTGTGATCTTTGTGGTCAACCCTGTTGTTACTTTGGCTTTTCTAGGAAGACCGCTCAATCATCATGAGCACCTGGAGAAGTTTACGAGAACGAATTGCAAGAGGTGGCAACAGAAAATGCTGTTCTACCTGACTACTCTAAGCCTTGCGAGGTTTTTGAGTGAGGATTCACCAACAATAGAAGAGAATGAGCAAGACAGGCAGAAACTCGTGGCTCTAGATGCTTGGAAGTAGTCAGACTTCCTTTACTGGAACTATGTTCTGAATGGCATGGCATATTCACCTTTCAATGTGTTTTATGCCAAGAAGTCGGCAAAGGAGCTGTGGGATGCTTCGTGCAAGAAGTATAACACTGAGGATGTTGGGGCAAAGAAATTTGTCGTTGGTCGGTTTCTGGACTTCAAAATGGTGGACTCAAAAATCGTCATTAGTCAAGTCCAAGATTTTCAAGTAATTCTGCACGAGATTCACGCAGAGGGAATGTTTCTAAGCGAATCATTCTAGGTAGCTGCTCTAATTAAGAAGTTGCCTAACGGCTAGAAAGACTTCAAGAACTACTTGAAGCACAAGCAAAAAGGGATGACAGTTGAAGAGTTTTTTTTCAGGCTCCGTATTGAGGAAAACAACAGAAGGAAAGGGGGGAGTACCTCTACTGTGAAAGAAAACATGGTTGAGCATGGCTAGTCCTCGAGGGTGACAAAGAAACCACCTACAAGCAAAAGCTCGAAGTTGGGGGCTAGAGGCAGTGTCTCCAAAAGGCCAATCTACAAGCTGCAGGAACCTACTTTTAGGTTCAATAGAAAGTGCTTCAACTGTGGAAGCGATGGGCATCAGACGGTTGATTACCGTCAGAAGAAGAAACCCTACAAGAAGTACCCTCCACAGAGCAAAAGTCATGCCCACATGGCTGAAATGAAGGATATGTCACAAGATGTGGACGACATGCATCTGTCAGCTGTCGTCTCAGAGGTGAACATGGTGGGATCCAACCCGAAAGAATGGTGGGTGGGCACTGGAGCCACTCGCCACATCTGTGCTAAGAAGAAAATGTTCATAACTTTTGAACCGATTTCAAATGGTGAGAAGTTGTTCACGAGAAATTTTGTGGCATTAACTGTTGAGGATAAAGGCAAGGTGGTCCTGAAGATGACTTTAAGAAAAGAGCTGACTCTAAACGATGTCCTTTATGTGCTGGACATTCGTAAGAACCTTATCCCGGGGTTACTCTTAAGCAAACATGGCTTTTGCATGGTGTTTGAGTCTGATAAGGTTGTGTTGACTGAGAGCAGATTCTATGTGGGAAAGGGGTGTATGTCGGGTGGTATGTTTAAAGAACCTTGCCTCGAGGTTGCTCTTAAGCAAACATGGATTCCGCATGGTGTTTGAGTCTGATAAGGTCGTGCTGACTAAGAGAGAAGTCTAAATGGGAAAAGGGTATATGTTGGGTGGTATGTTTAAGCTCAATGTAATGACTATTATCCCTAAAATTAATGAGAAACTTTTTCTTCTGCTTATATGCTTGAGTCCCCTTATTTATGACATAGTAGATTGGGTCATGTGAATTTTGACTTTTTGCATAGATTAATCAAGTTAGATCCCATACCATCTTTCAAGATTAATCCAAATCACAAGTGTGAAACTTATGTAGAAGCAAAATTGACAAAGACTTCGTTTCATTCTGTTAAAAGAAGTACCGAGCCTTTAGATTTAGTGCATAGTTATGTGTGTGACTCGAAAGTCGTACAATTACGCGGTGGCAACAAGTATTTCATCACTTTTGTTGATGATTGCACTAAATACTGTCATATGTAATTGCTTAAAAGAAAAAATGAGGCGATTGACAAATTTATTCTCTTCAAGAATGATGTTGAGAATCAACTAAGTCGAAAGATCAAGGCTTTAGTGATCGTGGTGGTGAGTATGAATCCCCGTTTGCTGAGATTTGTGCTCAATTTGGAATTATCCACCAAACTATAGCGCCTTATTCCCTTCAATCAAATGGTGTTACTAAGCGAAAAAATAAAACGTTAAAAGAAATGATGAATGCAATGTTAACCCAGAAATTGTGGGAGGAAGCAATTCTCTCCGCGAATTACATTCATAATATAATATCTCGGAAGAAAGTGGATAAGACTCCATATGAGTTGTGGAAAAGCCACAAGCCTTCATATAAATACCTAGAAATGTGGAGGTGTCATGCGAAAGTGGCGGTGCCTACACCCAGGTGGGTTCGAATAAGCCCGAAGTCAGTGGATTGTATATTCATTGGCTATGTACATAATAGCAGTGCATATCAATTTCTTGTGTATAAGTTTGTTATTCCTAATATACAAAAGAATACTATCATGGAATCAAGAAATGCATCTTTCTTTGAAGAGTTATTTCCTTTTCGTCTTTAAGAAGGAGTTTCAAGTTCCATGAAAGAGATTGAAGGTGACAATGATCACATAGATGATCACATAGTTGATCAAGTAAATGATCAAGTCAATGATCAAGACGAGGAAGTAGATGAGCCAAGAAGGAGTAAAAGGGCTAGGACTGCAAAGCCCTTTGGTCCGGACTTCTTAACTTATATGTTAGAGGGAGAACCTCGAACCTTCTATGAAGTTGTGACTTTACCTGAAAGTCCCTTGTGGAAAGAAGCAATTAAGAGTGAGATTGAATCCATCTTACAAAACCATACATGGGAGTTGGTTGATCTACCCCCAGGCAGTAGGGCTGCCTTAGGGAGCAAGTGGATCATTAGAAGAAAGATGAAAGCAGATTAATCAATTGATAAGTATAAAGCTAGGTTATTTATCAAAGGATACAGGCAACGAGAAGGCCCGGATTACTTTAATATGTATTCACCTGTGCCAAGGATTACATCCATTCACATGGTGATTGCGATAGCAGCTTTACGTGGTCTGGAGATACATAAGATGGATTTAAAAATAGCTTTCTTAAATAGAGATTTAAATGAAGAAATCTACATGGAGCAACCCGAGGGGTTTTCAGCTCGAAGAAAAAATAAAAAAGTCTGTAAGCTTGTCAAATCGTTGTATGGTTTGAAGCAAGCTCCTAAACAATGGCATGATAAGTTTGACAACGCTATGTTTTCAAATGGGTTCAAGATCAATGAGTGTGATAAATGCATATATGTCAAAGACACCAACAAAGGTTATGTCATTTTGTGTCTATACGTTAATGACATACTCATTGTTGGTAGTAATGATGAGATGATTAGAACTACCAAGAGATTACTAAAGTCTAAGTTTGACATGAAAGATATGGGTCTTGTAGATGTAATTTTGGATGTTAAGATTACTCAAACATCTGATGGTATTGTACTTTCTCAATCTCACTATGTTAAGAAGATACTTGAGAAGTTTGGTAAATCAGATATGAGTGTGTCTAGGATACCGGTAGATTTCAGTCTACACTTGACCACGAATAATGGTGAGAGTGTCTCTCAGCTAGAATATTCTCAGGTCATTGGGAGTTTGATGTATTTGATGAGTTGTACAAGGCCGAATATAGCCTACTTTGTTAACAAACTTAGTAGATACACGAGCAAGCATGATGTCACTCACTAGAAGGGTATCGTTTGGGTGTTAAGGTATCTCCGTTTCACCTGGGATTATGGGCTACATTACACTAGATATCTAGCAATAATAGAAGGCTACATCGATGTGAATTGGATATCTGATGCTAGGGATTCAAAATCCACTAGTGGTTATGCGTTCATCCGTGGAGGGACAGTCGTGTTGTAGAAATCTTCCAAGCAGATGTGTATTTCACAATCAACGATGAAATCGGAGTTTATAGCGTTGGATAAAGCAACAGAAGAGGCAGAATGGCTTTGCCATTTCACACTACAAGAATTAACACTTTTGGCAACAAAAAAATTGATCGCTAAAAGTCAATTTTTGGTCGGCAAAAGTTATCCGCGACCAATTTTTTTGGTCGCTACTTTGGTCGCCAATTGAGGGTCGGCAAAAGTAATTCGCGACCAAAATTTTGGTTGGTCGGCAAAAGTTGGATTTGCCGACTAAATTTTTGGTCGCTAAATATTAAATTACCGCGACTAATTTATTTTGTCGCTAAAACACTTTGGTCGCGAAAAGTGATATTTTCCCAACCAAATTTCTTAGTCGCCAATTGTCACATTTCGCGACCAAATTTTTTGGTCGCCAATTATCACATTTTGAGACAAAAAAATTTGGTCGCCATTTGTTACTTTTCGCGACCAAAAAGTTTGGTCGCCAATTATCACATTTCGCGACCAAAAAACTTGGTCGCCGTTTGTTACTTTTCGCGACCAAAACTTTTGGTCGGCAAAAGTGAGATTCCACGACCAAGAGCTGTTTTGGTCAGCAATTGTCATTTTTTGCGAAAAAAATTTATTTATTTGTCGCAACTAATAAATTGGTCGCCAAAGCAGGAAAACAATACACCTGTAATTCCTAATAATTTATTCAATCCATAATAAACCTATAATTTTAAAGCATCATTCAAATTAACTGAATCATTAACATTCGACAAAATACATAATTCATTAACATTCGACACAATATTACTATTCTAAGTTTTCATTCACAAGTCACATCGATCTCGCATAACAATTTGAAACAATACATAATTCAAATTTACAGCATCAGGAAAATTGCTTAATCCACTAAGTTGCCTTGATAGCCAATCAAAAAGATCCTTGCGGTCTTTCGTGCCAAGCTTCGCATCCATCAAAGCAGTAGTGATGTAAGGCACCTAATAAAGAAACAAAGTTGGTTTAGTAACATCACAAGCCACCTTATAAAACCTTATAAATATACCATATGATACCAAACATACATGCACCAAAGACTAGAAATTAAGGTGCACCAAAGACTTTAAATTAATAAGAAAATGGCAAGAGCACAAAAGTTGTGCCACTTTCAGTATAATGCATTCTCCAAGTCAATTTTTACAATATAGAAAACCATCAATAAAGAGCTGAAAACCCAAGCCATGGTTAACTCTCAATAAAAAATTAGAAAATCTGGAGAATCAGGATTTTTTTTATAAGCATTACCAGTAGCATTTTAGCATATATACATACATATATAAACAACAAACCCAAGGAACATGGTGAAGTCTTTATGTTGACCATCTTCATTGGGTTATTTTTGGGATTTCCAGCATCCTATATTTTGGGATTTCTAGCTAGATGCACTTCTAATTTAGTATATCATTTACTATCTCAAAAGTGTGGAATGCACTTACCTCTTGTAACTCTGAGACCACAAAGAAGACAGAGCCAGTGTTAACCGTGTCATAAAGTCGAATTCGAACCAATTCTCTGCTACATAGTTCAGGCGAGTTCACAGATGGAGGGCCATGATCAACTCCCCTAGGAATAGAAACTGTATTCTCCCAGTACCCTACATAACGCCGTTGGCTTGGTATTGAGACCTGTCCAATACATGCAGATCAATGAACTTCTAAACAAAATACTCATAGCTACTGAAAGTCAAGACTGGCTAATGAATCCAATACCATCCTTTAACATGTTCAATTTATTAACGTATAGATAGTTCAATACTAAGTAGCCCTAACCAACCCAAGGTTTATTGGTTTGATTCTGCTAGTTGCCCACCCAAACCAAACCGACCCATACACGTCCCTGTTCCTTCGTGAACCAATTTGGAAACTGAAAATGTGCAAACTACTAAATTGCATTTCGTTGTCATTTACTTCACAAAGTCCTACATGATAGCCTTTTATACATAATATGACTTACTCCTTCATTATTGGTAGTCCGTTTATGTGCATACACTTGAAGAGCCTCCTCTGCTGACATGCCACTATAAACAAGGTAAGCAGATACCATCAAGCCTGTCCGACCTTTGCAAATTGAAGTTGCTTTTCATTACATTCATAAAGAAAAATTGAAAGTTCTGATTAAAGCAAATAAATCCGGGGCATAGTTAGGTGTTCCCGCGTCCCCTCCCAGAGCTAGTCGAAGCCTCTGATGCCAAAGTGGGCCCTATATGTGCCTGTTCATTGAGCCAATCTATGCACTCATCAGAAATGGTGTAACTGAAAGTCGGAGCGGGGGCCAGAAGCTCTCTCGTCCTCCATGTCGTGGCATACCAAGCTAATTGTGCGCCTCGGACCAGAAATGCAGCTGGGTACTCTATCCCCTCTGCTGGGCAAATCTGATCATGGCCGAACTGGCGCTGGAACCGGAAGGGAAAGTAGAACACGCAGTGTGTCAGGCCAATCAACTGAATCTCGGTCTGCCGGGACATGCTGTAGCTCATTACCAGTAGATTGAGCCAATGACAACGCCAAGCAATACGGTCTATGGACAAACTGCACATCCAGTCGAACCACTATCCCTCATCAAGGGCATTGACCAGACGTCGTCGGAAGAAATAACCGCGAGCTGAATACGCTGGGCATGAGTCCACAACCTGCAACTTATCCATCAACCACACCTGGGGAGGGATGAAAAATGAGAGATTAAAGAATAGAGAGATGTACGATGAGAGAAAAGTGAGAAAAAGGTATTGAGAGAAAAATCGAGCCCGAGGGCCGAGTGATGTGAGCAATATATATGTGAGACAAGTTGGGAAACATTACCTGTAACAGTAGTGGACTCCCTGTGAGTCTGGTCGTCTCCCGGTGAGTCTGGACAAAGCCAAACTCTCAAAGGCGCGGCTAGTCTAGAAAAGTAGCTTACAAAACGTCGATAGTACCCCGCCAATCCCAAGAAACTCCGGATCTCAAGAACATTTTTGGGTTGTTCCCAATCCTGCAAGGCATCTATCTTTGAAGAAACTATAGTTACGCCCCCTCTTGACACTACATGATCCAAAAACTTTACTTCGGTGAGCCAAAACTCGCATTTCTCAAATTTGGCATACAACTGATACTCCCTAAGCAAGTCAAGCACTATCCTCAAGTGAGCTTCGTGTTCCTCCTCGGAGGTTGAGTAAATTAAGATGTCGTCCACAAAGACGACCACAAAATGATCCAAGTATTCTCTAAAGATTTGATTCATCAAATCCATAAAGAAAGACGGTGTATTACTCAACCCAAAAGGCATTACAAGGAATTCATAGTGGCCATAACGCGTACGAAAGGCCGCTTTCTGGATGTCCTCCTCCCGAACTCTCAACTGTTGGTACCCCGACCTCAAATCTATCTTCAAAAAGCAACAAGACCCTCTAAGTTGGTCAAACAAATGATCTATTCGGGGTAAAGGATACTTGTTCTTGACGGTTACCCGATTCAACTTACGGTAGTCAATACATCGCCTTGGGGAGTGCAAGAAGGCTGCTAAGTTGAATTGCCTTGTCTAAAAGCTCTTGGAGTTGAGTCTTCAACTCATGCAATTTCGCAGGTGCAAATCTATACGGCGCCATGGAAATTGTTGTCGTTCCAGGCACTAAGTTAATGGTAAACTCGATCTCCCTGTGGGGTGGCAAACTAGTAAGAACCTCGGGAAATACGTCCGGGTATTCACAAACTACCCTTGGCAACTCAACATGAGTCCCGTCACCCTCACTATCCAAGAGAGTAGCAAGAAGGCCGCTAAGCTCGTTTCTACTACAAGGGTCAAAAACTGGCAACAAGACCCTATTAACCTGGTGCCCTAGAAAGTAAAAACAATCACCACTCGAGGTGCACACTGTAACCCTCTGACGAAAACAATCGATCATTGCTCAGTACGAAGATAACCGATCCATGCCTAGAATGACATCAAAACTCAACATGTCTAGCAATACAAAAGCAAACGGGAGTTGAAGCCTGGGAACCTCTATCTCAAAACCACGACACCCTCGATCTAAGTCAACTATACCCCCGACTGGTGACTCAACTCTAAACGGAGACGCTAGCCGTTCCATCTCTAACCCCAATGCAGATGGGAATGCAGTAGATATCAATGAATGAGATGCATCCGTATCTATCAACACCTTAGCCAAAGAATTACACACAACAAAAATACCTCTCACAACCGAGGATCTTGGCAACTGCTCTGGCACCGTAACAGCATACACACGCCCCTGTGGCCTCTGATCAACCTCTTCATCTCTCGGAGCATAGGCCTGTTGCACTGACTGAGCCGAAGCGGCTCCCTGGTTAGCTCACGAAGTTTGAACTGAGTGAACCTACTGGTGGCTCTGAGTCTGCCTCGACCATGATGCGCCAGATGCGCCTCCCAATTACGGACAAGCTTTCTTCATGTGCCCTAATTGACCGTATTGATAGCAAGTAGGTCCCTGTCCCTTACTCTGAGACTGACTCTGGGATAGGTTAGGTGGTGGTAGTGGCAACATCTGATGTCCTCCTCCCTTCTGTCGACATGCAAAGGCCTTGTGACCCGGTTGGCCACACTTGAAACAAGAGAACCCGCTTGATGCACGCTTTCCCTGGCCCATACTAGGCAAGGAAAATGCGGATCTAGACTGCTGTGGTTGACACTGGGATAAGAAGGTGTTTCCGCTCTTCTTGTTGGGTCTGTAGTCCCCCTGTGACCCTTGACCCCTCGACCTTGAACCCCGAATTCTCTCCTCATCGGCCTCCACAGTAATCTCTACATGTGTCGCCGCCTCCACAAGACGGTCATAGTTTCGAATCATGTTCCCAGCAACCTTGAACAAAATCTTGGTTCTTAGTTTCTTCTCAAACTCAATGCAGCAACACTCTTCCATAGCTACCAACTTCAGTGCAAACCGGGACAAACTAGAGAAGGCCATTTCAAACTTGGCCACGGACATGTTGAGTTGCTTGAGGTCTTGAAATTCCGGCCTTAACCTCTCCCTAGCAATGGGAAGTAGATACTTATCTTGGAAAGCCACCACAAATGCTTCCCATGTTGGTTCGATTCGGCTCTTGGCATATTTCCACCATTGGCCCGCATCCTCCTTGAGATAGTAACTCGCAAAAGTCACCCTTAACTCACTATCCTCAATGTTAAGCATCTCAAATGTCTTCACTGTCTGTTCGAGCCACTCATCCACTTTTTTAAGCTCAAGGCCACCATGGAACTCATCCGGTTTGGCCCACAAAAACTCCCTAGTGAGAAAGCTCGCCCTCGTCTCTACAGCATTCTCTCTAGCTTGGTTCTACGCCCTTAGTATGTTCATAGACTCCCTCAAGGCCCCCGCTATTTCTCAGGCTAGGGCCCTCATTGCGGCTAGACTCGCTTGCCCTAGAATTTCTCCTTGCCCCGCTTGTTCGGCCACATAAACTTGGCCCAACCCCTCCTCTTGCACCGGAATCTCATGGACCGGTACTTCATGCACACCCCGGCGAGCCCTACCGCACCTTCCATCTCTACCATCACGAGTTTGACCTCTTCCTGACATTCTAATTAAGGAGCAAGGTAAACAATTTAGCACATAATTCGAAATGTGCTCGCAACTTGCCTCACATGTTAGGCTACAACAATTCTATATATGTTCTACCACACAAACAATTCAATTCCACTCCACATAAGCACTTAATCACGTAAGCACATACGGATTATCCTTTTGTGATGAAATTTGTCCCATAAAAAATCAAGAATTCTTAGTAGAATGAGTATTGATCAAGTACCCTTCTATTAAGACCTCAAGGAATTTAATAGGCACAAACAACATCCCAAAAGCCCAATCCCATTCCCATATAGTCACATAAACATGTTATTACATAATCACAGAACACAAGGCATCTCCTAATCATGCGCAATGAACCCACTGTGGTATAACAACCACACCCCGTGAGCCCCAAGTATTCAAACCCGGTAACTCTCATACCAAGTTGTAATGCCCCAAAATATTCCAACAATCATTAAAGAACAACAACCATTCTCCAAACTTTTCATCATTAACCGATAAGTTTTATACAAAATAGTCTCACATGCTAATTATACATTCAATGAATATCAAATACATGAATTTATAGCTTGTAGAACATCGAATCCCAACAATAAATAAAATGCTCTCAAGGGCTTACAAGTTCCAAAGCTTATGCTCGGTTACACAAAAATGGTCTCTCGGACCCATACATGAATAGCTCTTGGCTTACAAAAATTCACAATCACAACAAAAAGAGCCTTAAGCTCTCAATATATACTTCCACACCATAGTTTGGCGGGTTCACCTCGTTTTTTCCTGCACCAAAATCCCATAGGGGTGAGCATAAAACCCAGTAGAGAAATCTTAACAAAGTATATACATTTATACAAGCATTCCCAATATGAAATGCACATGCCATGTTATGCCTTAGAAAAGATTTCATTTACATCTCTTTGAAAATCACCATGCATAATGATAACTTGAAATTCTTTACAATTCAGAAATTTACAATTAATTCATTGGGGCGGTAAATGTGACTCAGGTAATCCCTAAGTTGGTGTCTGCAAGTAGGCATAACTAGCTCTACCAAAACCCCACTTTACCGGTTGCTAACCGAAAAGGAAGTGGTACCTCCTCCACGCGTGTTTTCGGTCTTTCACCCCGGACACTAAGGCCAACTTAATCAATTTCATCTATACCTCCTATCCGGACTTAGCAACATATTTACCCCGAAACATTTCAATAATTCTCATTTCAAAATTTTCTTTTCTCAAAGTAAACGTTTCCAAACTCAATTCAAAATGTATAAAGATCAATTTAATGAGTACGTAATGCAATAATTATCAATGCCTCATAATGTTTCTCCATTTTTAAATATCTCAACAATAAGACGATAATAACCACATTTCCATTTTCCTCCCTTCAATGTTACTTCACAAAACACCACATGATTTATTATATCTAACAACATGTTGCATCTTGTACAATTCTCAACACTTTAGTCATTTCAAGGCTATGTGCAATGTTTTTAAAACCTTAATTTCCCAAAATCACAATTCTCATATT